ACTGCCCGGACTGCAGTGTGCCCACCCCCCAGCACTGTCTGCATCCATTGCCTTTTCAGGCAGCCTAGAGCAGTGGTCCCCAACCTTTTTGTGGCCAATAGCACATTCATGTTTTCAGAAGAGTGTGGCGGGCCTATTTTGTATTTGTAAATTAAATAATACGAAAAACATCATATTAAATATTACATAATATATGAATCCATAAGATAAAAAAGGTAATTTTACATGTAAAAGGTATTAATTAAATTATTCGGCCCCCCTTTGGAGAAAAAATAGAAAAAAGGTATCAAATGCACAAATTGAAGGCTATTTTCATATTAAATGTGAATTGGGTAAATTTGATAGAAACTTAATTTACTTGGATAATTTTTATTTTAATTATATTGTAATCCATTTTTTTAAAAAAAATCTGCATTAATAAAAAGGGGGAAGTCAAATTGAGCAAAAAAAGCATCCTCCCCCCCCAAAAAAATCATGACACCTTTGAATCTCACACTCCCCATCCTCACCATGTCCCCACCATCTGCTGCCATGTCTCCTCCCCTTGCTCCATCAGCTCCCCAGGTGCCTGCTGCCCCCCACCTCTCACCCCCCTCTGCTGTCCTGACTCCTGCCCTTCTCACTGCCCTCAGCCCTCCTGAGACCTGCCCCCCCTCCACCAGTCCTTCTCTCCCGCCAGTGTCCACTTCTCCAGTAGCCCCACTCTGATCATGTGAGCTACCCCCTCTCCTAACACCTCCCTCTACACACCTGCCCTGCCTCTCTCCTCTGGTGCTGGTCCCTCCCCTGCAGGTGTCTGCCCTTCTGCTTCATCCCCAGAATCCCCTCGCACCTGCACCTTCTCTTAGCCCTGCACCCTCCTGGTGCCTTCCCCTTCCCTCACTCCCCCTGCCCCATTTGCCCTCTTTTTCACTGATGCCCATCCCCTCACCACCCTCTGCCCGTTTCCCTCATTTCCCTGTGCCTTCACACATTATTTGCTCCATCCCCGCCTTCTTCATGCCCACCCTTTCTCCCAGCATCTCTCCCTCTCCCCTCTAGCCTCCAATGCCCTTACTCTCTCCTCTCCCAGCATCACCCTGTCCCCCCTCCCACTGACAGCTCCCCTCCTGCCCTTTTCCTCATTGTCTCCACTTGGCCTTCCGGCATTTGTCTCTCCTCCATGCTGTCCCTTGGTGCCTTCCCCTTTCTTCTCCTGACCTGCCCCCCTCCCCTCAGCACAAGCCCCTTCCTCTTCCATCCCTTCCCCCTATTCTTCCCACACCCCCACCTTCTGCCTTCCAGTTTGAATCTGTGATCGGGCCCGGCTCAGCTGCTTCCGTGACGTCCCCAGCTGCTTCCGTGACCCCAGACCACGTGCTGGGCCTGGAGCTGGGCCACACGGTTTTAAAATTTAAAGTCCCGGGCCGTGATGTCACGGCACGTGGTCCATTCACATATGGATGCAGTTGCAAGCTCTGATCCTACATTAAAGCAAGGTGCTATACCAGGGGTCCCCAACGCAGTGCCTGTGGGTGCCATGGTGCCCACCAGGGCATTTATGTGCACCCGTACCAGTGTTTTAAAACAGTGGTCTCCAAAGTGGGGAGCATGCTGCCACGCAACAGCTGAGAGGGGAGACGCTGGTTTGCAAGACATCCAAGGGAGTGCATGCATGGCATGGATGTCTTGTGAACCAGCGTCTCTCCTATCAGCTGTTGCACAGCGGCATACGCTCCCTCCGATAGTGTGCGCAGAGACCACTGTTTTAAAACACTGGCACGGGCATACCTAAATGCCCTGGCGGGCGCCATGGCACCTGCGGGCACCACATTGGGGACCCCTGTTCTGGAGTATGCTGCATAGTGCTTGGGCAGCAATTTAAAGGGCTCAGGGCTCTAGGTGCTGCTGCCACTTCCGCACCAGCAGCCAGAGCCCTGGGCCCTCTTGATTCCTTGGGCTCCGGGATATTTTCCCTCTTTGCCCCCCTGTCCGCAGACTTGCCCCTCCCCGCAGCTCCTCAATGGATACGACAGTTTTTCCTCCTAATGGATACTGGGCTTGCTCAGCACTGCACAGGGTAAAGCTCAGCATTTTGCAAGGACTTACTGACTCACTAACGGCTGTAGTCCTCTTATTCACTCTGCCGGGAGAAAAAGTTTTAAATGGATACTTAGACATAACAGGAGAGTAAAGGTATAGATTAACACAAGTGGCATTTCCATGGCAACATTTAAGTAAATAATAATTCACAGGAATAATAATTGCAATACACAGCTTTCTTGAAAGGAAAACACAACAAAAGGGAAAGAAAACAAGCTGGGGTGCTCAGAGGTGACTGTGAAATAAGACTAATGTTGATATTTTAAAAATCTTTGATGCATCCATATTAATTATGCATTTGATGATAAAGTAATGGTTGTGCACTTTTGTATTGACACCTTACACTTTGCCAAGACACAGCTAGATAAAAAGACACAACTGCATCATGTTTTTTATAACCCCTCATGGGACAAGCTAATCCTTTAATGAAATCCATTATTTCTAGGGCAGAGAGCTACACAAAGATCAAAGGCTTTAATCTTTACCATACAGAAAAGAGACACATATTATGTACTACAGGACAGAGCAATGGAAGGAGACTATATAGATGTCTCCTCTATAAACAGCGCATGTTGTAGTACATTTGAAATAAAAGTAAACAAATCACACAGCATCCTTTTGAAGGAGATCTGCAGTTGACTGATAACACAATGCCATGTGTCAGACGTAAGGGCCTGCAGCTAGCCTGCTGCACCCTCAGCCAGTTTAACAAGCGCAAATAGGCTCCAATCGAGCCACCTGATTGACCAATCTGTCCAATAGGCTGAGAGGATAAGCAGAACTGCTCTTAAGATCAGCATCAGGCACCGGCAGCTCAAAGTTTGAAAGTATTGCCTCAGATTCAGTCCCACTTCTGCCTTGCCTCACTCCAGATAATCTAGCTCTCACCCTTGGCTCTGACTCCTGATATCTGGCTCTGAACCTCACCTCCAGCCAGCAGGTACAGTAAAACCTGTGTTGTCCAGCACGCTCGGGGATTAGGGCATTCTGGTTCTCTAAAAATTCCAGTTACCTGAGAGTCCCATCAACCTGCACTTAGGTGATATTCAGAGACCAATTTCTTAAAGGATTCACAATAACTTTCAGCAGCTTCATGATCTGCTGATGCTTTTTCTCCAGACACATCCAATCTTCTGATGCCACATTGAAGCTTAAAACTCCCTTCAGAAAATGCACAAGGCTCAGTCAACTCCATTTGTTTATAAAAGCCCTTTGCTTTTTCAGTCAGCATTGGCCCTGAAATTGGATGTCCTTCAGCTCTTTTCAATGCCAACCATTCATTCAATACTTTATCAAGCTGTTCCAATTTCGGTTTATGCAGCGTATGGTGTTTTTCAAGTCCTTTCTTGGTCTCCAACTGCACAACAAATGTTAAAAGTTCATCCTTTTGGGCCTTAATGTAGTAAATTGTTGAAGAATCGACATTGTATTCATTCATCAACACTTTTCTATTTACACCTTTTTCTAAGCGCCTTATAATGTCCAGTTTTTTACTTAGAATCAACACAACTCTCTTTCTCTTCTGCCCAGAACTTGTTGATGGTTTTCTTAATGCCATTAATCTTGAATGACCAAATCACTTGAATCACCAAATCACTTAAGCGCTATCTGGTGAGATGCTATGGAACTATTGGATCTCAGGCTCCATCTGGGGAGACGCTCTGGAAGCTTCCAGAAACATCAAGCACAGTGGCGCACAACTTTTTTGGAGCTGCGACCACCGTGCCGCAGGGGCCACCAGCTGCCTGGCCCAGCTCCCAGCCAGCTAAATCATAGCGGCATGCAGCGAGGCTGGATGCAGCCTCGTGCCGGCCAGATTAAAGCACCGTGTGGCTGCACCCAGCCCCCAGCTGGCCAGATCAAAGCTCTGCACCGTGCAGCCGCACCAAGCCCCCAGCCGGCCAGATCAAAGCTCTGCAACCCCCGGGGGAGACATCTGCAACCACCACTGTTTTAGAAGATACCGGATGGCTTTGGAGAGGTTAATGGTTAGTAGATTGGTGAATTGTATTGGCCTAATAGGAAACTTGCCGGTTTCTAAAGTTTTCTTGGTAGTTGAGTGCCGGATAGCGCAGGTTTTACAGTACAATGGCCCATGTCCAAGTCACATGGCATCCTGCAACTTATGGTGGGCACTCAGGTGGATCTTTTATAGTATAAAAGTTGTTTGGTGAGAGACTTACATAAGTGAAAGTGAAGCAGAATGAACACCACTGATAGGAATGAGATGATGCCTTATTAAAAGTGGGCTGCTACTGTTTGATGTAGGAGGGGATGACTTCTCCATCACATTCTAGTTCTAGTTATGTGGCTGGTCCTTCCATATTGGACTGATTAAATACTCAGATCCAAACATGCTCTGAATGTGGAGAGTTGAAATACATAACTAGAACTAAATTACATAGCTCAGACCCCAAGCCCAGCTCTCATATACTGTCTATAGCATCTATCATCTGTCGACCTAAACCTGCTTTGCAAATAGCAATGAACATGAAATATTACATCCAGTCAGAGAAATCAAGGCACTGTTTAAGTGACTTACTTGGGGCCACACAGTGATTCACTGGAAAAGCCAGGAATGGAACACAAGACTCCTGACACTTAACACTGTATTCAGTGTTGTAGCTGTGTCAGTCCCAGGAAATTGGAAAGGGAATATCTTTTATTAAACCAACCTCTGTTGGTGAGAGAAACCATCTTCTGAGCTGATGCAGAGAGTGCTCTACTCCAGCCTCTCACTGATGTATACTCTCTACCCATAACAGAATTTCCCAAGGGGAAATAAAGCACCTCCCTCCCTTTGAGGGCTGAATACTTTAAGAGTGCTCAGGCAATTCTGGATGCTAAGCAGCTGGTGATGAAATGCCTTCTCACTGGGAGGGAAGCGAAGGACAAAGAGAAAGAGGAGTGCTTCCCACCTGTCTGACACGTCATGAAGAGATAAAACCATCCACTGCCAGACTCCCAAACCTTCACTGTTAGTGAAATGCCAGAACGTCCTGCTCTGTTCCTTCCCCGTTTTGTTCTCGACAAGTACCAGGGAAATATTTCCAAACAAGAAGCCGTGGATGAGCCATGACATTCGGAGCTACAAGGAAGAGAACATATAAGGAGGCAAGTAAGACACATGAATTATACAGAAATTAACTAAATCCCCAATTCTTCTTTCAGTTCCTTCTTTCCCTCCCTCTAAATCCTCAGTTCTCCTACCCTGACACCCTTCCCTGCATCTAAGGATTGAAGTAGCCTCCAAATATTTGAGGTAATATTGTTGTATTGAGGTATTTGGTGTAATATGCTGGTGAAAACACAGGAAAGTTAATGGAATATTTGTGGGCGTGATTCTCATTTACACTAAGATCCCTTTTACACCACTCTGGCAGTGCAAAGAAAACTAAAAATGGGTTTAATTGTAATATGTATCCATTTTAATGTCCCTTTACTATGGTAACATTTAGTGGTTCAGCTAGAATCTAGGGATGAAAGCCTGGCCCCACCAAAGCCAACTGCAAAACTCCCAGTCACTTTTGACGGAGAATTTAATCCGAGGGTTCGGATGGGGGCCCAAAACCCCTACCAAATCAATTCCAGACACCCTTCTTAAGCAACCAGCTTTATTCAGGAATGCATTCCAGGGCAAAAATCTCCAGGATACTCAGGAAAAAAAGTTCCTGTAAAGTTTCTGCAACTGCCCAAACAAAAGGCAAGGTCTTTTGTACTTTCTTACATGGTAATTACCCCTCTTTTAGTGACCACTTACAATTGAATGCATATACAGGTCATGCCCCTTTGCACCAAATTCCCTCCAATCATCATTTGTCCCCTCACAGTCCTTTTGCAGCCCTTACAACAGGTTCAAACCAGTTTCACCTGTCCCCTCCTTTTGTATACCTGTGTTCAAGCATGTACCTCTTTACAAAGACCAGACTTTAACATCCAGGTCACAACAGGGGTCATACTGACAACAGTTAAGTTTATCCTTCACTTTAATGGGCCCAGAATTTCACCATATCAATGGCTGGGTGAGGGGACACTAGATGACTTTGAATCATTAAAAAGATTTATTTTCCAGGTTTCAGGCTGGTGAGTCTTGTCCACATGCTCAGGATCTAACTGATCAGCATATTTGATGTTAGGAAAGAATCCTCCCCCCAACCCCACTTCCCTGGCCAGATTGGTAGAAACCCTGAGAGTTTTTCCCCTTCCCCTGCAACTTAGGTCATGGTCACTTGCAGGTTTAAACCAGGGTAAAGGTGTATTCTCTGCAATTTGAAACCTTTAAGCCATGATTTGAGGACTTCAGTAACTCAGCCACAGGTTAGGGGCCTATTACAGGAGTGGACGGGTGAGGTTCTGTGGACTGCATTGTGCAGGAAGTCGGACTAGATGATCATAGACTCATAGGACTGAAAAGGGACCTCAAAAGATCATCTAAGTCCAGTCCATTGAACCCACGACAGGACCAAGTGTTATGTAGACCATCCCTGACAGGTATTTGTCTGACCTGCTCTTAAAAATCTCCAGTGGCATGCCAGTGCTTAACTACTCTGATCTATAGGAAGTTGTTCCTAATGTCCATTCAAAACCTCTCTTGCTGCAATTTAAAACTATTGCTTCATGTCCTATCCTCAGAAGTTGAGAATATTTTTTCTTCTCTCTCCTTGTAACAACCTTTTACATACTTGAAAACTGTTATTTCCGCTCCTCAGTCACCTCTTCTTTAAACTCAACAAAACCAGTTCTTTTCAATATTCCCTCATAGGTTGTGTTTTCTAGTCTTTTAATCATTTTTGTTGCTCTTCTCTGGACTTTATTCAATTTGTTCATCTTTCCTGAAACATGGTGCCCAGAACTGGACATAGTACTTAAATTGAGACCTAATCAGCACAGAGCACAGCGGAAGAATTACATGTTTTGCTTACAACACTCCTGTAAATACATCCCAGAATGATGTTTGATTTTTTTTGGTAACAATGTCACACTGCTAACTCCTATTTAGCTTGTGGTCTACTACAATTGCCGATCCTTTTGCATGGTCCTCCTTCTTAGGCAGTCATTTCCCATTTTGTATGTGTGGGACTGATTGTTTTTCTAAGTGGAGTATTTTGTGTTTGTCCTTATTGAATTTCATCCTATTTACCTCAGACCATTTCTCCAGTTTGTCCAGATCATTTTAACTTTTAATCCAGCCCTTCCAACCCCTCCTAGCTTGGTTGTGTCCTCAAACGTTATAAGTGTACTCTCTATGCCATTATTTAATTCAGGAGTTCTCATACTTTAGCAAGTTGAGGACCCCCATTTTGATTTAAAAATGTTCAGGGACCCCCAAGCCCTCCCGCTCAGTCCTTGCCCCTGAGAACACATCACTGCCCCAAACCTTTTCTGAGGTGCTGTCCCCCACTCACTCCATCCCCCATCCTTCGCTCTCCCACACCCTCACTCACTTTCACCAGGCTCGGGTAGGGGTACAGAAGATGGTATGGGGTCTGGGAGGGAGTTTGGGTGCAGTCGGCACTTACTTTTTGTAGCTCTCACTCAGCACATCCCTCTGCTCTTAGGCAGGAGGGCCGGGGGGGGGGGGGGGGG